TCTTTCCCTGCCTGGCGAAGTCATGGCCAGGCCATGCCCCCTTCCATCTACCTAGTCAGGTAGGTGCCTGGCTGCATCCACTTCTCCCTACAAGGCTGAGCCATGCCCCCCTCTCCCTCCCTGCAGGACCAGGGTGTTCCCTCTTCCTAGCCAGGCTATGCCCCCTTCCCCCAGTGTGGGGCTCGGCCATGCCCCCTCCCAGGGCCAGGTGGGGGCTGCACCAAGTTCTCTTCCACCATGAAGCTGAATCAGGGCCAGGCTGCTCCCTCTCCCTTCTGTGCAGCCAGATGGGGCCCCACCAGACCCAGCCCACTGCTCTTCTGGTATGCTGGCCAAAAATCTTGAGCACCAGTGGCTTAGACAGATGAAACAATTATACCACTTCATTACAGTTTATTTTAAACTGTGTACAGGTGAATTTTTTGTTTATTTATTCTTAGACCAGTGTAAGTGTGCCCAAATCACTTTAACTTTGAACTTGAGTAAAACAGATACCTCCCGCTACCTAGCTCCTTTTAAAATTATATATCATGTTTGTACACAATCACAGTATTTCATCAAACTGAAGATACCAATAAAACCATCTTTGGTTTTCTGCCATGACGGGTAATGCCAGTTTTTCAAATTCTCATTTTTGGAATGGTATTTAATCTAAAAGGACTTGATATCACTATGTGTGATGATAAGGTTTTTCATGTTGTCCAGTTTTACAGTTCCCCAAGTTATGGCTGTCCTGCACTACCAGTGCTAACTGGAATTTCAAAATGACAAATTACACTTTTGCCTTGTTATTATGATCTACAAACTTTTAACACTATTTAAAACTATTTATTTACTATCTCTGCAAGCTGAATGTTATTTCAGCTATTTTACTGCAAGTTTCTTTTCCTTATGTGTCAAACACAAAAACCACTTCAGAATGAGAAATTTCAGCCTTCAAATTTCCAACATATTTCATTCAGTACAATTCAAAGGTACCAGTATTCAAAACTGAAGTCCAATAGACAAAAAAAGATAACCTGACAAAGCAACATAAGCTCTCTCACTAATGTGCCAATATCATAGGACTGTTTCTTAGGCTAGGGACAGACATTACACATAAACTGGAATAAATGATTGGAAACCAGTTCAAATGTGTAACACAACAGAAATTCAGTGCACATAAACCGTGTTCAAAATGGCTGAAACTGGTTTAAGATAAATCTGGATGGATATGTAGTATCAGACTTAACTGATGTAGGTTAAATCCGTTTATTGAACTTCTGCCCCAGGTTCCTCCCAGATTCAAGTTATCTCACAGTCCCCCAGCATCCCAGGATGATTTGCACCTCAACCCTTGCAGGTTGGGTGGGCCAGCCTTGGGCCAAGCTGTCTGCTCCAGCTGAGAAGGGAGGTATGCTCTTGCACTCCCTCAGCCTGTGGCCTAAGCCACTGCAGGCATGTGGCTGCATTTCCAGAATCAAAAGTGAATGTCTGTTCATTTGTTTATTCATTCTACCTATGCAACTCAGACTAACCTACAAAGACTGAATCAATTCAGTCTCGAGCTTTTTTGATGGGCTGTACTTAGCCTTAAGGTAAAAAGAGTATGATCCTTTTGCCTTACTTTTGAATCCATTGAGGTCTCATTGCTTATTTGGTACACCTGGTAATTCAATCTTTAATTATTTTGCTGAGACAAAAAAGGCTTATGATGAATAGGCTCATCTGTTCTCAGTCCTACGTAAGTGTTTTGAAGAGGAACTGGAATCAGCACTCTGGATAGATAATTTTATCATACCAGTTAGATATTTAAAAAATAAAATCTTTATTTGTAAGCTTTTGGGCGCACACACCCTTCTTCAGGCATAGGAGAATGCAAAGATTGTAAAATTTCTCTGAGGTGGAAATGAAAATTCATATTCACAGAAGATCTGAAGGTGTTGTAAGGTCTCCCGGTTGGAAAAAAATTATTTTGTGCAGTAGATTTAGCTGATGGAATTGGGAAATGGCAGCACAGAAGTGTATTTCACCTGTTCCTGAGATCACTCTTGTTTCAAGAGTTCACTATTCTTGAGTTGATCACCATCTCGCTCATACAGAGCCTTTGCACCTTTTTCTGCACAAAGCCTATTTGATCTCACAATACCATGGGCTAGTACAGCACAGTACAATAGAATTTGGTTACCATGTCCAGTGGTTTCATTGTTTCATAGGGACCTGAACAGATCATCTAGCCTGACCCCCTGCCACAGGCAGGAATGAATGCTGGGTTCACAAGACCCCAGACAGGTGATCATCTAACCTCTTTTTGAATTTACCCAAGGTAGGAGTGAGGACCACTTCCCTAGGAAGTTGGTTTCAGATTCTGGCCACCCTAACCGTAATATATTGCCTCCTGATCTCTAACCTAAACCTATTCTCCATCAGCTTATTACCATTGTTCCTCATCACCCCAGGTGGTGCTGGGGAGAATAGGGCTCTTTCTATTTGCTGATGATCTTCCTGATGAGTTTGTAGGCAGCCACCAGGTCTCCCCTCAACCTCCTCTTGCCGAGGCTGAACAGGTTCAGGTCCCTCAGTCTCTCCTCATAGGGCCTGTCCTGCTGCCCTCTCACCAAGCGGGTGGCCCTCCTCTGAACTCTCTCCAAGCTGGCCACATCCCTTTTGAAGTGCGGCGCCCAGTACTGCACGCAGTACTCCAATTGCGGCCTGATCAATGCCACATAGAGGGGGAGCATCACCTCTCTGGACCGGCTTGAGATCCATCTTTGGATGCATGACAAGGTATGGCTGGCCTTACTGGCTGCAGTCTGGGATTGGCGGCTCATGTTCATCTTCATGTTAATAATTACTCCAAGTTCCCTTTCTGTCTCTGTGCTTTCAAGAAGGGAACTCCCCATCCTGCATGTATGCTGTGGATTCCTTCTCCCAAGGTGCAGCACCCTGCATTTATCTAAGTTGAACCCCATCCTATTCTCATCTGCCCACTTTTGTAGTCTGTCTAAATCTAGTTGCAGCCTCTCTCTCCCTTAGAGTGTGCCCACCTTGGCTCACATCTTAGTGTCATCAGTAAACTTGGACTTGTGCTTTCAACCCACTTGTCCAAGTCGCTGATGAAGATGTTAAACAGTGTGGGCCCAAGGACTGAGCCCTGGGGGACCCCACTGCTCACATCTTGCCAAGTTGAGTATGACCCATCCACCAGTACTCTCTGGGTGTGCCCCATCAGCCAGTTTTTTACCCATCCCACATGTAGGCATCAATGCCACAGTCGCTTAATTTATTAATGAGACTGGGGTGAGAGACAGTGTCAAAGGCCTTTTTAAAGTCTAGAAAGACTACGTCCACAGCGACACCATCATCCAAGGATTTAGTTACCTGGTCATAAAAGGCAATCAGGTTGGTCAGGCAGGACCTGCCTTTGATGAACCCATGCTGGTTGCCCCTAAGCATGATCTCCCCTGCTGGTCCCCCACAGATGTACTCCTTGATGATTTTCTCTAACATCTTCCCGAGGCCGAGGTGAGGCTTACAGGCCTACAGTTACTTGGGTCCTCCTTCCTCCCTTTATTAAAAATGGGGACCACATTAGCTAGTTTCCAGTCCCCCAGCACCTAGCCAGATGACCATGAATGCTTATACAGCCAGGCCAAAAGCTCCACAATGACCCCTGCCAGCTCCCTCAACACACTTGGGTGGAGGGTTGAATAAGTGGGCCTCAGAATGTGGCCAAATAATGAATAATTTATGGAAGTATACACCAGTGATAGAAATGCAACAGAATGTTTAATATTAGTGTGAGTGGAAAACAACTCCCTCCCCTTCAAACTTTTCCCATTTATTCACTCAAATGCTGAACAGGTATCAAATCTGAATGTCCCAGGTTCCCAAATTGATCTGTAGAACACAGAATTATCCATGTCAATATTTTAACCTGTTAAGGCTCCCAGAAATGACAAATAGTGATTTCGTTAGGCTTATTTATTTACCATCAAAATATATACAGAAATCTCTTTTTAATCCTAGCTCCAAAAATAAACAGAAATGGAAAGGAAAAAAGTAGTATGGTTTATGGTTATACTGACAGATGGTATTTTCCAAGTCAGGAAACACATTACAAAACACCCTAATAATTATAAGATTGATTTATACATTTTTGGCTCATTGGCATTTTTCCATTTTCAATTTTAAAAACCAAGTGTGATTAAGGCAGCTACTATATGCTATCAAAACAGATGAAATACTTCAGTTGTTCTGCATGACTGCACTTGAGCTATTGTCTTTATGACAAACAAATACAACACAATAAAAAGCAAGTCTTAGTCATATTATTCTTTGTAGTGTGTTTAATATTATTACATTATAAACTGAATTTATAATTATTATTACATAAATTGGTTTATAATTAATTACATTATAAACCATTTCATCAAAACTGAATGATAATCTGCTTACCAGTTATTAGACAGTAAGAATTAGAAACAACATGGGTATTTTTTCAAAATTAGTATTCATTCATTGGCTCTATACAAGATGAACAGAAAATAAGATTGATTCTAGTATTATACTTCTTATAAGTTTTGGAGAACAGGTTTGCTTCCTATTCCTTTGTGGGAGTGATCATACAAACTATGATCACTAGAAACTACATGGCATCAAATTATGACCAACCTTGCATTCCATGTTATTCTACTGAAGCCAATAGGATTGGATAGGATATAGGTTAGGAGATAATTCTACCTTGTTTTCAGCTCTGTAAGATGAATTCTGCAACCCTTTCAAAATGATATATTCTCACAACTATAACTATGATAATACAGGCGACCCTCAACATCTGCGGGGTATACGTTCTGGAGATCCCCGCAAATGGCAAAATCCACGAATACAGCACTGCATTCATGAACATCGTCTGCATTCATGAATGCAGTGCCCCCAGCATCTGGGGCGGGGGGGCGTTGCTGCGCTGGCGATGGCGGGAACCTGACCGTGGTGTCAGGTATGGAGCTCCTGAGGAGTTCCTGTAAGTGTATTTAAGATGTGGGTTCGGCATTCGCAAATATCTGAAACTGCAAATGTTCAACTTTCCAATAGTGAGGGTTTCCTGTGTGCTTAAATGTGTTAGATTTAAAAAAATATATGATACTTAACAGAATCTCTCTCACTGGGCATCTGGGCATCACACTGCTCATAACAAGGCCTAAGAGCAGTCATTTTAAAATGTTCTCTCACAGAACTCTCTACTTTATGGCTCTCACAAATTTTGCTAAGAACAAACAATAAGGATTTGGTGTTTGAGTCACATATACTGAAACACAGTTGGCTGCTTGCAGGTGTTAAAAAAAGTGCTTTACCAAAAGAAGTAGCATGTTACTCCAACCCGGCTCAGCGGCGCCTATAAATATCAGGTGCTTCAGTGGGGCTTTTTGGTGCTTTTAGCTAAAGCTGGTTCAATCATCTATTGGATAAAAGCACAAAAAGGGCCCTACTAAAGTGCCCGATCTTTACAGACATTGGGCAAACTGGGTTGAAGTACAGGAAACCCTTGCTATTCGCGAATTTGGAAATTGCAGTTTCGAATATTTGCAGCGCAGCATGATGATACTTTGTTACAGTGCCAGCAGTGTCTGCAGGAGCTCCACGCTTGCTGCTGCTGGGCTTCTGCCTCTGCACTCCTGCCACCACCAGTGCAGCCGTGCCCCCACACCCAGTCGCCAGGGGTACGTGCCATGCATGAACACAGTACAGTATTTGCGGATTTCTCCATTTGTGGGGATCTCTAGAACATATCCCCCATGAATGGTGAGGGTCTCCTGTAATGAACTGCCTCTTCTGGACATGTGCAGGGTTTGGCAAAGGAACATACTGAGTTTAAGGTAAAGCATGGGGCAGGGGCGGGGGGTGGTTAATGTCTGCAAGCACTCAGAGTTAGTAAACCACAATGAGATCAATTGTTTTACTCATTCTGGACACAATTTTATTTAAAGAAATAATAAAACAACCAAAATCTTCAGCATAACTATTTCTATGTACATGAAAACGTGTAAATCTTCTAGAACTTCAATCAATGAATACATATGCATCTGATGATATTCATACCTTAAATACTGTACTGGGTTCTTCATTCAGGTTTACTCGGGTTACTATGCGCCCTGAATCTTCCTCTACATCAAATATGCTGGCACTGTAAGGAAACTTGACAACATCTACTTTGTATCTGACTCGACTTGCTGGTGTACCCTGTAAAGCAAATGCACATTTATAACTGAAACAGGAAATATGATTTAAACAATGTTTCCTTATATAACTTTTTCTAATAATAGAAACAGGCAGAATCCTCTTTCAGGTATTATTGAGTAGTTAGGGTTAGAATCTAGCAAAGGACTAAGGACTGTTTATAGAATGTTTATCTCTGCATGTGTCAAAGAATATGGACATATGACCAGGGCACCTACCAGAAAAAATCCAAATTAAACAGAAAATCAGAAAAGAATCATGGGAAAGTAAAAATCACCAGAATGTTATAACTTTATTTTTTCATCCCCAGTACTCTGGGCAAATTATGTATTCATATTAACAAATTAAATAGTATGTTCTAATAGAAGTTAATTTATCTGATTAATCTGTATTAACATAATGAATACTAGTTTATGTAAAATATAATTTACTTTATAATTTACTTATGTATCCATTATAATCTTGTTATCATTCCGTTTATCACCCCTCAGAATTTTTCAGGAACAACTTTTAACTACCCAAAGTCTACAAAACTATTTAGACAACAATTGGCCCCACATTACATGAATACATGGGTTTCTTATGAGTTTTGCTGACCCTTATGATCAATGAAGTTCTAGATTAAGCATAAGAATGCAGAACAATTTATTCTCAGGGGTGTTTAGAAATTGCATTTGTTAACCAGCTGGGAATAACAGTGGTGGAAAGAGGTGGCTGAAAAAAGGTGGTTGCTGGTGACCTCTTCACAGCCTTGCAGAATCTTGAATACCCTTGAGTAGCATGTACAATATTTATACTTTAAGTCAAACTTTTTCCTATTACGCTAATTAGTAGGGCTGTGCAAAGGTTCAGTCCCCGATTCAATTCAGTGGAGATTCAGCCCAATTTGGTGACAATCTCCAAATCCAAATCAAATCAGAGGACCCTTTAATCTTTCCAAATTGAATTGGAACCCTCCGAATCGATTTGGAGAGATTCAGAAAGATTCGGAGATAGACATAGCTTTAAATGTTTTTTCTACATACCTCTAGGTAGCAGGTGGCTCGTGAATGCTGCAGTGCTGGGGTGCATCAAGTGTTCCACAGAAGCATGGAGAACTTCCCAGTGCACTCAGCAGCACACCAAGAAGTGGACCAGAAGTATTTCTGGTCCATTTTTGGGACTGCCAGGGAGCATGCTGGGGGTCCCAGGCCCCTCCAGCTTTGCGACTGGTGCCTCCTGGGTCTGGGGGGGCATCGAGGGTCCTCTCATGGCCAATCACTGAGCTGGGGGTTGTGAGGGGAGCCCCCCATCATGCTCCCCAGTGGACCTGGAAATACACCGGAAGTACTTCCAGTCCACTTCCGGGTTCACCGCCAAGCATGTGGAAGACCCCCCTGCACTCCTGAGGGACACTCCATGCACCCCAGCATTGTACTGTTCATGAGCCATGCTGATACCTTTAGGTATGTAGAAAAAACATCTTGAAGCTGTGTCTATGTCTCAATCACTGATTCTCCAAATCAGGATCGAATCTTCAGATTTGGATTCAGCCAAATTGAATCAGGGACAGTGACCTGAATCAATGAATGGAATCAGTGTCCCTGATTCAGGTCAAATCCAAATCTAAATCAAATAGGGCCTGCTTTGCACATCCCTACTAATTAGGGAGTTTTCTGAATTTAAGCGAGATAATTTTAAAAACATTTTCCCCATTGAATTTATAGTTTTTCCTGCTTTTTGCCCGTTGACATAGAAATAATACCACTTTATGCTCATAATAATCCATCTATCATTTACTTTACTTACTTATCTTCTTTGCCACTAGTAAGCAGATATGCTCCTTTTTTGGTTAGAGATACTTATTATGTAGAACTAGCATTTTTTTTTCTTTTCTTGTAAAAACAGTAAACATACTTCCTTTCCCTCATCTTTTGTCTAGATTTTTAAGTTTGTTAAGTTCCTGAGACAGAAGGATCTCTTACTTTTATCTATAAAATAGTACAATAAGGCCCTGAGTTTTTTTGCACTTTCTCAGCAACCTAGCATGTATGACTAAAATTAATAATAATGGGAAACAACAAATGCACTATTAAAGGATACAAGCAGGCAAACACAGTCACCCGCTTCGCATCATATTGTTATAGAATAAGTGTGATAAGGGTTTCAGGAAGGCCAATACCAAATATCTTGTCAGCAACCTATTAAAAATAATATCTAAGGGCACAAAATACAACAAAAACACAGGCAGCTATCCTCAATGACAAAAGATCTTTTTTACAGTGAACTACTAAACCTCATGCTATTCCTTCCTGACTCATGCTGAAGAAGGTAAGCCCCATCAGTGGGGTACTTCAGAATAGATGCAATAGAATAAAAAAAACCTCAATGACCTGATGAATCTATACACTACCTAGAACCCTAAATATTGCAAGTGCAAATATTACAAGTACAATACTGTCAAGTCTTTCTAAAAGGAAAATATCCCCTTTATTGGCCACTGAATAATAATTAGGTATTCGGAGATCCCATGTTCCCAAACACCACACAGCTATTTTCAATGTTGATATAAAGTTATGTCTCAGTAAAAAAAGTTAAATCAGTATGAACATAACTGATGTATAGTCTCTCATGCTGGGAGACTATACAAAGGAAAGTCAGTAACAGCAAGGAGTAAGTAAGTGTAGGATAAAGCTGAAATAAAGCTTGTTTTGCATTGAAGCTTGCAGGCATTTTTGGATAATTCAAACTCTGCATGACCCAATTTCATAGAGGCCTAAACAATTCACAAATGTAAGCGAGATATTTTGAGTTATTTCCTAAATAGTCTTTGATTCAATTCGCATATCTATTTTGTACTTAAGGCAAAACATCAAAAACAATTTTCAGTAAAAGTTTCATTACAAAGATGAGTATCTTTCTATTGTGTTGACTAACCTAACATGAAATAGTTTTGCTGCTTTTGGTCAAGTATGCTATGCAGTACACCATCCTTTAACTAGCAATAAATACAATAATAAATTGTCTCGACGTGAAATATGCATCAAACGTAGGTGGAAAAGGCAATACAATTTTACTAATAGACCGAAGTCTTTTATGCAATTAGAATACATTTTATTGACATTGAACAAGAAGCAGGGAGAGCATAAACAAACAAAGCCTATATCACAATTTTTGCATAAGCCCTGCTCTAGATAGTTCATTGGACACTAAAGGAGGTGAAAAGGCTACTTTGCACGTAAGGGAAAGCAAAATGAAATAACTAAAGGGGTTTATTAACAGAAGGCAGAAGCTGAGGGAATTGTTCTCTTTCCTTGTACATCCTCGAGGGAGAGTGCAAGGCATCTCCTCTCCTTCAGTTTCAAAGTTAAGTCTAAAGGGCATAATTCTAAGCCTTACAAAAAGTAACGTAAGAGAGAACTTGATTAATGCAGTTGATTGGATACCATTTTTAAAGATGTTCAGATCCTTGAAACAAGGAATTTTGGTGAGATGATAGCATACCCAGACGATTACACATTTAATCTCAGGAGGAAGCCTAATTTAGTAATTTTTTCTCAACTTATAATTAACAATAAATTACTAATCCAAATGCATATAATTATGTTCAAAATAGTTTTGTCTGTAAGAATAAAACCTCTTATAGTTAAATGTTGATGTTGGCTTAGAAATGGTATTTAAAGGACTGTTTTTTGGGAATTGGCTTATAGGTATAGATTTATGAATTATAAGGGGTCAAGATGAGCAGCAGGGGTTAAATGGATTTCTAAAGAGCTTGGGAGATGTACACACAGCTTCTCATGGCCCGAAAGCAAATGAGCTGTCAAGCACAAGACCAATGGATGGACACAGTCTGAGAATTGAGGGAGGCATGCCATAAGATGAGATCACAGCCTTCAAGGCAGACAGGTCGTCTAACACAACAAAGACACACAGCCTGGGGACCAAAGAAGTGTGTACCATACTGTCCCATAACACAAGATAAGTGACACCAGCAACAAGGCCTCAGAGAGCAGGGTGCCTAAGTCCTGTTTTTGGGGGAACTGACCAAATTAGGAGAAAGCCCAGAAGGCTATATGGACATGTGACAACAAAGATACAACCAACCAGAGATAGTCATGGATGAAGAGTCATCACGAGTCATCAAGGGGGAAGGAGAATACAAAAGCAGAGACTTGAGATTAACAAAGAGGGTCCTTCCCTGTCTGTCCTTGCTGTCCTTCTGTCTCTTCCTTGAGAAGGGTCCCCATCCCCATCCCTGTTCCCTGGGAAGGGTCCCCAAGGCTGACATGGACAGAGGGCACATACCAGCAGCCCATCTCATGCACCCCACTGAAGCGGGGCTCTAGGCAAGGTTCCCTCTAAGGTGCGCGTGTGCACAGCCGCGCACAACTAAAAGTGTGGCCATGCACAGCTTTTTCAAGGCTGCGCACCAGGAGAGGCGGGGCAGGAGCATGGTGCCAGCTCTGCTGGCTCCAGGGAAGCGCTCCACTCCCCTGCATCTAGGCCGGGGAGTGCACCACTTCCCCAGAGCTGGCAGAGCCCAGCCTAGCCCCCCACCCCAGCCTCCATCCCTGCCTTGCCTCACCTCGGGGGGAGCCACTGCCTGCCCCAGTGAGGCTCTGCTGGCTCTGGGACACTGCTCCACTCCCCCACATTGCCTCAGGGAGCAAAGAGGCATGTAGTATCAGGGCTGGGGAGCAGAGCAGTCCCCTAGAGCCGGTGGAGCCTCACTGGGGCAGGCAGTGGCTCCCTCCTG